AAAAAAAGAGAGCAATATTTGGATCTCACACCCGTCGTCGTCCCGACCCCCACCACCACAAAAAAACCTCCTTCCCATTTTCGGCCCCCATGAGAATACGCCGGCACGCCAAAATTTCCCCGGCGCCGCCCCTCCACCCCTACGCCTGCCAGCTCAATCAGTCGCCGTGGGACGCAATGGAGTTCGCTCCGCCGTCAGCTCCTCCTCAGCCGCCTCCGCCGCCGCCTCCGCCGCCGCCCCAGGTAGGCCCAATGTTCATGCCGGAGAAGCTCCTCCCACCCCGCAGGCCGCCGGATCTGTTCCCCCCGCCCTCTATTCCCCTCAAAAACCTTCCTGCATTTATGCGCCGCTTGTTATTATCCATTTTTTTTTTTCTATTTTTGTTTTGCTCTTCTAGGGTTTTCTTCATGCCCGCCACTATGGCAGTGCAGAGAGCGTGTTCGTCCCCGTGACTGGCGGCCGGGGGTTTTCGAGTTATTTTACGGCTATTTTTTTCCCCTTTTTCCCTAATGGCTCCATTTTCATCGGAATCGGATAAATTTGTTATAGGCCGGTGCAGGTGCTTTCGCCGCCGGAAATGGGCGCTCCAATGAACGTTTTTCTGCCGGAAAAAGGTAATCATTTCACTCACTCTGCTGACACTCAATGTTTTTACGGCATTACTATTTCAACATAATTTTGCTTAGGGTTTGTGCCCCTGATTATAGTTCTTCACATCAATTTTCCCCTTTCTATTCGTTCATCCATAGAAGTTTATATAAACGCAATTGTTATTATCATTATTATTATAATTATAATCTGTCAATCGGAATATTCCGACAGCCTCCCGGAAAATGACGCCACCACCTTGAAGGTGGAGCAGCAAATTTTCCCAGCGGCCGAGCAAGTTGACCCGAGCAAGATCACCAGCTGCAGCAAGACGGACGGGGAGAGCTATGCCTATGGCCCACCCGCCAGTAAGCCCATGGCCCACCGCCCGGCCCGGCCCAAGAAGTCCTCCTCCTTCTCCACCAACCCCTATGAGTTCTACTACTACTCGGGCTTCGGGCCCCGGTGGGCCAAGAAAAGAGGCACGAGTTGCGACGCTGATGATGATAATGGCGGCACCACTAACAAGAGGCATGAAATCGAGCGGCAGAAGGATTATTCGGATTATGACGAGCCCAACTATGACAAGCTCGAGGAAGAAGAAGAAGAGAAAAAAGAGAGGAAAAGAGCAAGGAAGCCCATCAAGGCTAGGTCTCTCAAGTCGCTTATGTGAGGAGAGAGTGAAGTTTGTACTTTCTAGTGTTTTTTTTTTAGCTTTTTTAGTATGTGTCATTTTGTATGAGTCAATGGAGGTTTTATGTAGTCTGACTTTGATTTGATTTTTATTTTTGTGGTGTGTTATATGGTTTTATCGTTTTGGGTGACTTTTGAGGGTAATGTGGGGGTAGAGTTGTCCTTTCGCAACATTCAGGAGTCTCCAAACTGTTTAATAATCCGAATACTATTATTGGCGATCAATTGGCTCGGCTTACGGAGTCATCCATACTTATTCACAAATAGCGTATTGATATGTGTACCATATTAAATACACATTGGACACATGTCAGTCTATAAAATTATGAATAACTCCATAAAGGAGTCAGTCGATGGCTCCATAGAATTTCTGCAAAGTAAGAAATTAAATTTAAACTGTTAAGAATGTTCCGTACGTTGTAAATCGATCAGTGTTGAGTGAAATTTTAGCAGTAGTGTTTCACAAATAAGGAAATAAAGGCGTTATTATTAATGCCTGAACCAGTTCATGATTAATTTTTGGACTATGATTAGATTGAAAGATTTATCGAGGGATTTGAAATCTATAAATTTTAAATTTACAAGTTCGAATCACCATGCAAGTTGGAATGATAATAGAAATCGGAGAATTTCAAATTCACGCTAGATAAGCATTGATTAACACATGTGATTTGGATTATATTCAATTTTCTCATTGAGTGAAGAAGAGAAGAGAACAATAAATAGTAGCTAAGGAAGTAAATGTATGCAATTCACTGAGTGAAGGACTTAGTGAGAGAACGATAATTAAATTGAGCTAGTTTTCGCCTTAACAAACCTATAACTCTTTGTTTCTCTAGTGTTCATACCGACCTCATGAGCTCACTAGCTCGAGCATAGTCAGGTCATTCAAAGACCCTAACTAGCTCGAGGTAAATCATTGGCCTTTTCTCGATCTCCAATTTATTTTACCGAGATGCCAGGTGAACTGATCCTACAAACCGGGCTCGTATCTGAACTGATTTTCATAGTTTTTTTTAAGTAATATATTTGTATCAAATAAATTGTTGGTGATATTAAATTAGGTTGTCACGTCCCTTCAATCTAATTGAGATTAGATAATAACTTGAACATCAATGGCATTTTGGGTGATGTTAGGCCATCCTCTTTGGTTAATTTCTTTAATCTTTTTTCTTCTATTTTATGCTTCTAATAAAATAAATAAAAAAATACAAAAAAATCAATGAACACATAAAAAGAGAGAAAGAAAAAAAAGCTACAAAAGTTTAGAATTTTGAAAGAGACTTTGAACCACTATATAGTCTGTAGCTGATGTACGCTGGTAGCCACGAGCAAGTTCTAGAAGGTTCTCATTGTCTCAACTGTCACGTAACCTATTTTCTTCATCTTATACCTTACATCATTATCTGTATGTTTCTCACACATGCACGCACACACGCACGGAAGCCAAAAATGGTGGATTACGTTGTTATTTCCTCAAGTTTGGGGTCTGAAAATTGTATCGTCCGTTGGTTGCGCGCCATGTGTTCGACGTTTTGCCTAGCTGAGAACGGTACGTTTGCTTGTCACCTTATTCTTGTCAAAGCGTGGATTCAATGAATTTCTGAGAAGGGTTTTGGTTGGTGAATGTTTAACAGCTCGTTATCTTATTATTGTACAATGTTGAGGTATTAACCATTCATACATTTTTTCAAAATTAATCATACCAAACTAAAAAATCCAATAAAATCAAACATCTTATATCCGAGTCAGCTGATTGCGGGAGAGCTTTGATTTTCATCCGATCGAGTTTTTTGGAAGATACAAATATGTGTAGTTGTAGTTTTTTTGTGTAAATCTTTGGTCGGTTTTAGCAGCCAACCGTGACAATTTAGCTCAATTATATGATAAACATGTCTATCATACAATTACTAGCTAGTGTCCCTTTTTGTTTGCTCGGGAGAGGTCATTCGTTTTCGAAAAATACGATTCTACCATTTCGTATATTTAGAAAGGAAAATCTTTTCTATTCGACATGCGTGGAAAGCCATAGATCAGTTGTCCCCTCGTTTTTTGTGAAGTTTATTGTTGTAAATATTTTTACCGGAGTAGAATCGAAAGATTCGACACCGGGTCGTCTCACAAGGAAGGTTAGCCGAATTATTTGTACGGATATTCAATCACAAGAAAAGAGAAAAGAATTTTCTAAACATTCTAATTCAAATTGGGGGTTTGATTATCAACTACGAATAATGAAGCAAGAGATACGAAAATTCAAAAGCAAACGATTAACTTGATTATAAAGGAGTTAGGGAGTCGGGGACAATCGTTTTTGGTTCTTGACTCAATTACCGAGCAATCAATTGCTCGGTTACGGGATTTGAATCGCCTACTCGTATGGAGGTTCACCTTCAATAACTTTTCGTAACAAGAAGGTGAACATACACGAGCAACTCATCAAACCCTACAACACATAGACAATACAATAACGAACAAGTCTATTCCAAACGAGCCTAAATCGATCAACGTCTCCCCTTTCGGTTCTAACGTCGATTAATTAGGTTAAATTGGGGATCAATCAACTAACCCTAGGATGAGATCAACTCGCATAGATAGAGCAATTATCAAACACGTAATCGAAAGAACCGAAACAATTATCCCCTATCCCTAACTTATGGAATTAGCCACTCATTGCAATCTCAACACAAAATTTCTTAATCAAACAAGCCATTATATCCATAAACAAAATGAAACGAAGTGCTTACGATTAATAACAAATCCAATGTCGATAAAACAACGGGCAAATCGAATCCAAAAGCTAGAAAACGAGTTCTTCAATCTCAAAATCTAATCCAAGATGAAAGATTAGGAAAAAGATGTGTTATGTGATGAAAAGCTATCAAAAACCAAGTCAGAATGTCTGAGAAAATCCCCTAGGCTCGATCATAAACATCCCAAATTCGAAATCACGAGAATCTCGCAGCTGTTACAAAATAGACCTTAGCGGCGCTAAGGCTCCTTAGCGCCGCTAAGCCTCGTTAGCTGCTCATGTTTGTCCCCGTTAAGCTTCGAAACGCCGCTATCCACTATGGCCTTAGCGGCGCTAAGGCCTGGAAAGTCAAAATTGTGGCTTCTTCTTCGGTTTGCGTGCTCGCCCATGTCGCTCGGGTATTGCCCGAGCTGGAAACTCGATCCTCGCATGTTTGGGTCCACAAAATGATGCTCGAACAACACACTTCCCTCCTCGTCAGAATGCTCTCCAATCCGGGCAGCCTAGAACCTGAAATCGCACCACCGGACAAACACGAAAAACAGAGAAAAATAGGAACGAAAACACAGAAAATACTAAACACGCCAAAATAAAGACAAAAGCATAACTAACGACAAAGAGGGCCGGAAATACCTAAGAAAAGACCTAAAACGG